TCATAATTTTAGATGCAAACATCCTGGAATAATTAAAAACTGCCGGGGGTTATAAATGTCTCTATAATGCTGCTCTGTGACAATACCATCCACATTGCTACCATACCTTCACTTGTAAAACTGAGCAGGGAAACAAGTAACAAGTAGCTGCTCAGTTTTGCAATGGGACATTTTGTGCAAAAGGGGTGTGGGCAACTTTGAATTAACTATTATAATGTGTAGCTCTATTTGAGGAACCTGAAGATTCCCTTTAGAGCAGTTTCGCCTCTTTTCACCAATTACTGCAGTCCTGCAGAGGTTTTCGTGAACATTTAAATAAAGATGGCAGGTTTCAGCACCAAGCAGGCACAGCTGGATTTCGTTTGCTTACCTATCTGAGGTAAACAAACAAAACTGGCTTTCCCAGAACAATGGTACTCAGTGTTGCTTCTGCTGCGGTAAGCTCTGGGCTTCTAGACCGTGCAGGGGAAAGGCTCTCCAACTGCTCCACCCAGCTACCTCACCGGCTTGTTTTTAAAGCAAACAGCAGGACACCAGGGGCCATTGAAGAGAGCACGGAAGGACAGAGATGTTTCTTGGTGCCGTTGTAGCTCCAGGAATTTTTAACACCTCGCTGGCCTCTGCACACAGAAGCCAATTTAGTTCCAAGCCCTATGGCAATCAAAACCAGCACTGAGGGGATCTTTCAAGAAACCAACAGCGGAAATCCTTAGATCTATAATCCTTCGATCAATTTGCAACCGAAGAACCTAAGCAGGTCAAATGGCCTCCACTCATTTCTAACCTGTCCAACTGTTTCCCTAAACCAATACAGTCTTCAGGGTAATAATGTATTAACTTTGTAAAGACAATGCTAAAACACCTATTCCAAAAGTCCAGACTTCAGTGTCCTCATGATATACCTTGAAGCAACAAAAATGCTATTGGTTCCAATATACATCAGAAACGATTCAAGGGAATAAGCATGGTAGCGCATGTATGCATGCACACAATCGCAGTTCTTCAAAGGTTTAAAAACGATCAAGCTGAGGAAGCAAACCTTGACCTTCAACAAGTACGTTTTTCGAAAAGCCTTTTTCAATGGAGTACTCAAGGAACACAAAGACTTCAATTTTAGTCGGAACCAGACTAGACGCATTACATTTATGCAGATAGTTAATTAAGACTTTTTAACATAAATAAAGCAAAAGCTAGTAGAAACTGCGGGCCTCCAGGCATTTACTGGACAAACACACAGCGACCCCTGCTGGTAACTGGCATAAAAAGTAGAAATACTGAAGAAACGTACAACTCGAGCAGCTTTCAGAAACTTGAAAACATTTACCCAATATGCTAGATCCAGTCAAAAAAGCAGACTACACTTTATCTTATACTTACAAATAGGAAAAGATCAATCTGACGATTCAAAAGTCCTTATAAAAAATATCAGAGGGGAAAATAATTTGTAACAGCTGTAAAGCTTAAATGACATGAAGCTTATTATGATCAATATAAATGTCAAGCCAGAGCTGTAAACAAATTCATATACATGCTTATGCCACCCAGCCCTTTTCAATCTCCCAATATACTCACAGTAACACCGCAACAGTCTCAGCATGACAACACATGGCAACCTCAGATTAAACCAACCTAGGTTTATGCATTAACTGAAGGACCAATACAGACCGCACTATAGTGACATCACAGTAGACAAACTAAGGCAGCCAATCAGATCATTCAGATATCTCCGTGAAATGTGACATCACTGCATTCTGCTTTGCATATCCAATATCTCAAAGCAAAAAATAATCACAATTCCAAAAAATGACCTCAAGCTATAATCGTTTTCACCAAGTACCACACTGAAGTTTCAGTGTCTTTTGTCTAACGTGACAAAAACAGAAACATTAAAAAATGTCTTTGCTTAGGTACTCTCCTGCCGCAAAAAAAACAAAAACATCCTATAGTGAAAGAGTCACTAGGCTGCAAAAGAATAAATTAATGCTGGCCGTCTCATCTGTGTTCAGAGTGGTAAATCATTAATCCAGCCCTCTGGTAGATCACAATGATATTTCACACTGGACTTGCACTATGCAAGCCAAGAGAGGGCAGTATAGCTGCACTAGGTTAAAAAAGAAATCTTTCATTGAGAACGCAGGACACCCAAGTAACCCAACAGCTACTCAAGTTACAGGGATGAAGGCTGAAAGTGGCTGAACAGTCAGCCTAATAAATTATGCAAAAATAAAACTAAATTGATTACCCTCCCAAACAGCACGATTGAATTCAAGAATGCACAACATTACTTTGTGACAAAAAACATTCATGCTTCTGTCTGTTGCTGCATTTCTAAGGCATTGAATCAGCCAGATGGCAATGTTATTTGCTCTTGTATTTTGCATATACAATATCACAAGGCAAAAACATAAATTCAAAAAATGATCTCAAGCTGTAGAACCTTACACTCGATATCTCTCTGAGCTTTGGATCTTGGCTATTGACTATGTACCGTAGGCCATATCAAAGATGCAGCAGCTGAAGAGAAGCTCTCCTTCCCAGTACTAACAAGAGTAGGAAATGTGGATCCCTTAACTACTGGTATTGACATTAATGCACTTGCTGCAACACTACTAAACTTATAGAAAACTAAAGGAATAATTAACATAAGCTGTTACACAACTGGGCAAAAGTCTCAAACAGCTGGTGCTGAAATACTATCACATTAAGTCATGAAAACATAGTTAAAAGAAAGCAAATAACCAGGCAAGAGTAGAAATGCATGTTTCTCTGCTGTTACTACAGTTTTGCTGTAAAGAGACCCGAGCCGCACAGTTAATATGATGTATTTATTTTTAAATGTGATCCAAGTGTCGATCAAACCCACTGTGAGCTATCGCCAGGTGTCTGACCTGTGTTCTAGCTGTCCAGACCCCAGCACACTCACCTCAAAGGCAGCGTAGTCATCATACTCCTCCGGACAGCCCCCGGCCTCATCCCCAGCATTGAAGCCCACCTCGTACAGCTGCGCTTCCGAGCCTGAACAGAGAGGAAGACACAAAATTACTAACAAGGACCATACATCTACAGCAGGGCACCTTGATGTCAAAAGTACCCGTCTTGATGTCAAGAGTCACATTCTGCATGTTCCAGTAGTTACAGTAAGAGCTGTAGTGTTTGGAGTCCTCTTTATCTGCGTTTTACACCGAGCACCTAAACCCCTTGTTCTATAGGGATATGAAACCTGGGATTAGCAGAAATGGTTAGTTGAGATAACGAGAAACTGTTTTCAAAATCAGAGCGTTACTGTCGAGCTCGCTTCAGGACAGTGCGGGATCCTGGAAAAAGAAAAGTGAATAACCAAGCAGAAGTAGAAAAGCATGTTTGTCTGCAGTTTTTCTGCAACGAGAGCCAGACTGCACGGTTAATATAATGACTATTTATTTAGTAATCTTATACCTGCTCTGGGATTACTGACATTTTACAAGGAACCAAAAGCTTCCCCGATTGCGGGATTTTTAACCAGGCCTTGTGTTTGTTCATGTTTTGGTAGGAAATCGGCTCAATGGACATGCTCCTCTGACCTCTTAAAACATTTTCTTGACTTTGCCATTTCCACATTTCTTCTTTAAAATGTGAGGTATTACTTCAAACAGACACAACCCTACTAAAATGTTTTGTGTGTACTCAGTCTGAGGTTCAAAACATAAAAACAGCAACCCCTATTATGACAATCTGAATTAAATCACACGGCTATTTTCTCTGTGTAATGTGTGATAAATGACAAACTTTTCCCATGCATACTAATATAAAGGAATTCCATAAATGTGCACAATTGCACATTTCAGAAATTGTGGAAATTGTCCCAGATGGGATAGAAAGGAAACCACTTGCTCTGTAACCCTACACCAGACACATTTGATAAAAATGCACTCACATACTGTACATATAAAGACTACCAATGGCAATTTAATTAAAAACAGCATTCAAAGGAGCTGAAAAATAATATTAAACAAGTGTTATTTGGTCATATGAAAACAATTTAAAGGAAAAGACTGGAAATAGGGAGAAAGGATTTTTAAAAGGCAAAGTGGCAACCAACCCACAATTGTCTCGCACCTCACTGCCTCCTTTTTCTGTTTCACTGAGAACTGAAATCAGCCGCCAACAGGAAGGTGGATAATAAACCTTGCAGCCAAGCTATCACAAGCAGGGGTGCCAGGAGAGGACAATAGGAGCAAGGAAGCAGTCAGGACTATCCTGTTTGTTTAAACCAACCGCGATGGCAGCAGAAATGGTCAAACCAGAGTTAAAAAGGAAATGGAATGGAAGATCGGGGTTCATATCTTGCGTCCCAAAATTATGCTGAATATATTTTTAAACTGTTTCAACATACTAGCTAACCATAAGAGTTTATTATTAGGTTTAATGATTCGAAGGGGCTCTGATACATTTTTAGTGGGGATAATAAGCAGTTTACAGTGACACCTAATCATCCAGCACAGTGCGGCCTCTTCTCTCAGGCAAGAGATTCAGACCTTTGCACTGGACCCAGAGATAGGCCACTTAACACTGTGCCTCCAGTTTCTACACCCCACAAATCTGGAGAAGCTGCAGGTGCACGAGCACGCTGTAAAACCCTTTTCTTCCACTTCTCTTCTTCTTGTCCCTCATCAGTAAGCTCCCGTTGGCAAACAAGCTTCTGTCCACGCGTAGCTTTCTGCTACAGCCTGCTGAACTCGCTAGACCTGATTCCAGCTCAGTCCAAGGATATTTGTGTACAAATGCACATCGTGTGTGCCGAGAGATTCATGACAACTTTTAAGCTGGAAAGGGTCAGCAAGAGAAAGGAAACAATGGAAGGATTTTAAATTTAATTCACGAGGTGCTTACGCAGTGATCAGTATGGTTTTGTAAGCAAGGTTCAAAAAGGACAGACTGCAGTCTTGGGAAACTCTTGTCTCTTAAAACAGTACTTGGCCTTTCTGTACTTCACCAAAACGCACAACAGAATACGATAATTTCCCACAAAGGCTCACCAGCAGAAAAATAAAATGCACTAGCATAGGGGAATTCCTATCTATAAAAAAAGTTGTAAAATTTACATGAAAACAAGGTCGCATTTTAAATATAAATTAAGCACGACTAACAAAAATTCCTGTTTCATCTTGCATCCATCTTAAATTCAATTCTCCCTTAAATTCTGGTATTAATAGAAATGGGGAAAAGATCTACTCAAATCAAGTGGGTGACGGTTTAAAATTCTCAATGTTAAGACGTTCCCAAACCAATTGTGGTACCAACATAAGCTTAAATTAAAAAAAAACGGAAAGGCTCCGTTTACTTCAGGAAGACTGTGGAGGTTAAAAGAGCTCGGATAGCGAATCAGTCCAAAGAAACTCGTTGCTTCTGTGAGTCTTTGTTTCTTGATGAATAAAGACTGCAATCAGATTGGGTCGTTCTCCATTAGAGAGGAACCCTGTGAGCCACAGTCGTCAAATCAGCATGTGGCATCCCTTAAGATCGACAGGCTGTGATGCAGACAGGCAGGAATTCTGGCACCAGCCTGTAAAGGGCTTTAGAAGTTACCAGCAACATTCTGACATTCCTACAGAAGCAGGAATCATGTGACTTGCCAAAATGCGCAGTGTGCCCAGAGGAACAAGCGCATATGCCTTCATCAAAAGCTTTTACACTTGCAGAAGGATAGACCAACATGCGAGACATCTGCACGTTGTCACTGTTAAAGCGTGTGAAACTGCTGCAGTAGCTTTCTGTCCCCTCTAGCTGTTCCCTTCAGAGGCCTGACAACAAACACTTTCTCAATCTCACTGGGGCGGAGCTCGGGGATGCAATCTCACATTTAAGAGCCTGTTCCTCTGACTACGCATGAGTGTTCCTCATCAACCTGACAGCACCAGTCGTCAAGGGGGCCGAAAAGTGATAAAAAAGGGGTCTTATTGCTGATGTTGGCAGATCAGAAACTGGACACAGGGTGCGTAGTGATGTGTGGTTTAAATTTAAGATAAAGACCTGCTGGATGAGTTAACAGTGGGAGTGCAGGAGAGGTCGCATTCCATGAGACAATAAAAAAAAAAATCACCATGTCTTCCCCCACCAACAATGAAAGCAGCTTTTTGACATGGTGTCAGTCCTGAGGCTGAGACAGCAGCTCATCCCCTCCTCCCCTGTTCCTATTCAGACCCGCGCTGACTGACAGTTCTCTCAGCTAGGATTCGAAAAACGCCAGCAGAGATCAGCACAAGGGCTCCGGGGTCACTGGGTCAGGAGCAGTCACGACAGACCCATGAGGAAAAGAGCTTCAAGTCTCTGATGAAGAAGAAAAAATACTTGTTTCTCAACTCTTAACGAGGTCTTTCACCTGCATAGGTTTGCTAAAAAAAAAGCAATATCCTATTATTTTTTAACAAAAGGAACAGTTCAAGTCTGTTGAGTCCAGGGAATAAAAAAACGCTCAAGAGGAGATCTGTGACCATAACGCCTATTTCCCATTTGGATATGAGCTTTTCCTCTAGGATGTCTCAGTCCAGTTTCGCCTTTTGTTGTCGCTTTGCAAGTTGTTTTTAAGGAACTCCAGGCAAGTCCTTGAGGAGTAGAAATTCTGTGAATAATTCAGGAAAAACCTGAGCCCCTTCCCTCTCCAAGCCTTATCCCAAGGCCCTATTGTATTTATGACTCAGGCTCCATTACTAATTGAAAAGGATGAGTAACACAAGCTGCTAACCTAGAAAACTTTAGGGAGGCCGAGCACCAGCTTAATCAGTTCTGTCATATCAGAGTTGTGCGAGGGTTTCACAGGAGTGAGGTTGTCACCGTTGTGCGCAGCTAGAAATGGGGTGCTCCCCAGCCTCTGGCTTCTGTAATCTTGCCTCTAATACGCGTTTGTTCCATTTTTCTAAACTAATTAAAAAGGGACTTTCAGCATGCACTCTACAAGGACAAATGCACTCTA